GTGTGGGCCGCCCGCCTCTGGCCCGGGGAGGAGCAGCTCCCCCCGTGGTTCCTCATAGCCCGAGCCGGGCCACAGAGCCGCGTCACGGAACCGGGTCACGGAGCCGGGCCGCGGAGCTGAGGCGAGCTCAGCACTCCTCTCTGCTTGGGGCCCAGCGCCCTCCCACAGCCGCCTCCAGCCCCTCTCCTCACCTCCCACAGCTCGGGGGCAGGATTTCTTGTGCCTGTGTGTGCAGAGGGTCTATTTGGTTTTATTTTTTATTTTATTTTTTTTCGGGGGAGGGGGGCGGGTTGCTGTTTTTGTTCTGAGCATTTTTCTTTTAGCCAAAGACATCTCCCAAGTCCTTATCAGATGACACAGCGGGTAACAGACTTTCCCCCGCAGTCCGGAGCCTTTGAAAAGCAACTCAAGAGGCAGCAGAGCTGGATCCCATGGAAATGTCTCCAAGTCTCTGCAGCCCGTTAGCCAGGCGTGGTCTGCATGTGCGGTCAATATAAACACTATACAGTAAAGAAGAGCCCTGGCGGATCTCACACAGTATTTTTAGAACTGAAAAAGTGGGTGTTTCTGGTGGCTGAGGGCAGCGAGGGGACCCTGGGCTGCCTGGGAGAAGTTTCTGTGTCTGGTTGCAGCCACAGCAGTGATGGCCGCGCAGCCCTGGGAGGTTTGTGGTGTGGACCTGGAGCTCCTGTGGATCCGCTCTTTAGAAGTCCACATTGTTGTTTATTTCTCCTTTGCGACTTCACTTGTGTGGGAGAAATACCCTGGACACAGCAAATGAGAGCAAGTGGGGGCAGAGCCCTTATCAGAGCTCTGTCTCTTAAAGTCTGGGGCTTGTGGATTGTTATGGCAGGACGCCGGGACGGAGAGGTGGGAAACTAATCTATTAGATTGTTTCACTCCAAAAACGCACCTTCCCAAACCTAGCCACCCAAGGGTAGAAATCTTCCTCTGAGCCATCAATCTGCTGAGGTTTCTAAAGTATTTCTGGCACAGTAAAACCTGTCCCTGTGTATCTGTGGCCTGCGTGGCCCCTTCATCCCTTTCCTGGGAAGGATTGCAAGGAGTAGCAAGCGGGGCCGGGGTCACTCAGCTTGTGGGGCGCAGGGAAGCCCGTGCCCTCCTCGGAGAGCAGCTCTTTGCCCCGGCACCGGTGGGCACCGCGAGAAGCCCAGCGCAGGTTTGTGTCCCGGCGCGCAGCCCACGTCAGCCCCTCGCCCGGCTCTCCCCGTGCGCGCGCGCACGCAAAGCGCCTGGCCCGGCGGGCCGACACTTACCAGGTTGACCGGGTGGATGTAGCCGTTCTCGTACTTGTCGTTGGCCAGGATCTGCCTCAGGTGAGCAATGTAGCTGGAGGCCAACCTCAAGGTGTCCAGTTTGGAGAGCTTGGTGTCTGGGGGCACCCAGGGCAGGGTGGTCTTAAGCCTGGAGAAGGCTTTGCTAAGGACCCTCATCCTTGCCCTCTCCCTGGCGTTGGCAGCGTTTCTTTGGACCTGCTTTCCCTCCTGGCTCACTCCATTTAAAGGGCTCTTCTTGGGGGGAGCTTTTTTCCTCTTGCCCGAGGCCCCTCTCCCCTTCTGAGGGGAGCCGTTCTCGCCATTGGATCCCTCTTCGTTGCTCTCGTTGGAAGCCCCAAACTCTTTGTTGTTATCCATTTTCAGGCCATCGCACTCCAGCATCTCCACCTCCTGCAGATCTTCCACATCACTGAGGGACCCAGTGGACATGGTCTGGAAGATGCCAAAGGACCAGCGGGAAAGGGGGAGGTGGGGGGGGAAGGAAGGGCAGCACCTCGGACCTCCTTGAAGCTGGTGGAGGACAGAAGGGGTGCCAGTATTTTCCTCCCCTTCCCTCCCCTCGCTTAGCACGAGGTCTCAGTACCAGTCCAGAGAGGCTGCCCGCCCTCCCGCCCCCCAACCCCGCTTTGCCCGTGTTTGAGGGAGGGAGCGAGTGTGTGTGTGAGAGAGAGAGAGAAAGCTGAGGAATTTGGTGAGGACACTAGTAATTTATCTGGGGATAAGAGAGGCGGATCCAGCCCAGGGGAGGGGCCCTGCCCGCTGAGCACACCACATCCCCAATCACAGACCTTTGCACGGGTCCGGGAGCGAGGTAGCCCAGAAAACGCTTGCAGAGAGCTCAAAACTGGGATTCAAAGCTTCACAACTGGAGCAAAGCAACTCTCTCTCCCCTCTGCTTTTCTATACCCCTGCTTCCTCCTCCTCCTCCTCTTCTTCCCCACTTCCCTCTCCAGTGCGGGGTTGCTCTCCCCCTCCCTGCCTCCTAGATGACCCAGGCAGCTGGTGTCATGATTCCTGACGAAAGCCAAAATGGGTCATGAGCAGCGAGAGCAGCACATCCACCAGCGCAGCCTTCCAGGGAGCTCTGCAACACCCGCCGTCTAAACGCTGCCCCGTAACCTAATCTGAGAGAGATTTGTGTGTGATTATGTCTGAGAGTGCATCCTGTCCAGCTCCTTCGCGCGTTCCAGGACGAGGGAGCTCTGCGGCCTGCGGGGTGGGAGCGCAGGCAGGAGGAGCCAACTCATTGCAGGCTTCCTGGGCGACCTTTGCGAAGTCCCCGTCCCCTCTCTCACTGCTCGAACTCCCCCATCTGCAGACGGTAAAAAAAAAGACTGCCCTATCGTGCAGGTGTGCGGCTGCGTGCCCCAGCTCCCCACCATCCCCAGAGCTGCCGCCCAGGGTTATCGTGGCTGCGGATAAGGTGCACGCAAGAAGCGAGAGGAGGTTTACTGGGTGATAGGCATCACACGGGGGAAAAAACACGCCTTTTCTGGGAGTTTTACTGCAGGGCAGGCTCCGGCATTGCGCTGCGTTGCACTGGTGGAGCTGTTGTCCGTCTGCAGTCCAGCGCATTTTCAAAAGCGAGGGAGTTCTGCCCGAGTGCACAGGCAAGATAAGGCCCTTTCCGTGGGAGAGGGAGCACGTTAGGCCTTACTCTGCTAACAGGGAAGTTTCCACTAGTGGGAATGTGCGTGTTACTGAGCAGAATGCACAAGGAGATGTGTACTGCAGTGATGATCCTTATGTACATATGTATTCCGTCTCTGCAGAGCAGGATTTTTAAAGCATTTTATCCTTGACCTAGCTCTTCTTCTCTGTGTGATGCTCTAAACCCACATGTGAAGTCCAAAAAGAGGCCAGTAAAGCATTGACTTTCTCACACATTTTCCTCCTTCACACACCTCCTGCACCCTCACAGCAGCCTCAGCAGCCTCAGCTTTGAATATGGGGGAATAAACTGGGCTAGACTTCCAAGGGGGTCTTTCTGGATACAGATTCATTATGACTGGTCTTATTGCAGGAGAAAACCCAGTTATTCCACAACTTACCTGAGGATTTGCATAGCCCTGGGCCAAAAGTGCACGGCCTGAGACGTCACTGTGGGACACAGTAGCTCCAGGGCTATTCCCAAGGTCTGTGAAGCCACAGAATGATCTTTCACTGACTTGCGTGAACATCACATGAGGTGTGCACTGAACAAAAGAATGACCAAACAAACAAAAATTGTGGAAGGCCAAACTAGTGTGTCTGCCAAGAGCCACACACTGCCCCTAGATTAATGTTTCAGTAGGAGGCAGCGAGTCATTATCGATAATTAGCAAGGAAGTCTTTCCTATCTTTTTATCCATCTTAGTCCCTTGGCTTGCCAGAGGAAAAAAGGCAGTTCTAAAATTTAAACCAGCTCTTTACCATTTGGCTGGAAGATAACACCTTCCCACTCACGATAGGATAAGTACATTAAGATATCCTATCTCCAAGCCCAGGGCTCTTGGGAATTCACTAACCTCTAACGTCATGTTATGTTAACTGTGCCCTGTTTGTGTTTTTGCTGTGCTATAAACTAAACAGTTTGTCAGCATATCAACCCTAATTAATGAATTAGCTTTTCTTCCCTCCTCTTTTTTTTTTTTTTTTTTTTTTTTTAATAACATCCTTGTTGCAGGTCCAAAATATTACTAATCACCAGTGTGGAGATTTATGAGTCTCCTTATTTTCTAAGGCTGATTGTTGTTTGTGCAGGTGGAGTTTTAAATGGCTATATCCACTGCTGAGATTTATAGTCCCAGTGATTGATGCTGGAAATGAGCTAAAGGACTCTTACTGGAGCAAGGATGACAGAAAATCAAGTTGAAGTTTCTTGTGTCTCTAAGCACGAATGACCAAAGAACGAAAGGCACAAAGTATCTCTAAAATCCCAATCTCAGATGCTCCCTGAAGAAAAAAATAAAGCTGTATATACTGATATCCTTTTCAATCATTTATTTTTAACTTTATTTTAGGCATTTCTTTTTTGTTTTATTGTAAAAAGCAGGAAGAATGATTTGGCTTCATGAAAATGGCACTTTATATTGTCACACACATTCTGAAAATAAATATACACAAATATATTCATTATGGGTTTTTAGAAGTGCTAGACATTTGTAACTTTTACTGACTTAAACATATTTTTGAATCCTTGGAGCTGGTGACAATTTGTCTCTAATACAGAGCCTACATACTACATTTCTGTACTGGCATAGAACACATTTTTGTGTTTGGTGGAGATTCTCGTGTGTGTTATATATGTGTAAACATGTTACATATTGATCTTTGATGCCTTATGCACAGAGACTGTTTTACAGTCTTTTAATGACCTAATCATCCTCTTTTCCCCTCCACAGTGGCCAGCCTGAGCAGGCCTCAAAACGGTGCTGTATCGCCTCATCTCTTGGTGACTCCTATTCCCCTGCTCGTTACATGAGTCCCGCCTCCCCTTTCACACCCTTCCTGCTTCCTCTCCTCCCTGCTCCCAGGGCTTGTATCCTTGATCCGGCTCCCAGTTTTAATCGCTTTTCCCTTCATCTTGCCTGCCAGGTGCTCTTGGCTCTCATTCTGGATAGCACCCCTGATTTCCTGACCACTTCAGTCCCATGTGAAGGGTAAAGCTGGGACGAGTGCCACCACCGTAGGGGTTGTGTGGACACTTCCCCTTGTAGATGACTGGGACCACAGACTAACCTGTCAATAGCCGTCTGGGAGAGACAGAGCTAAAGCCCTATTGAGACTTTTATTTATTTATTTATTTATTTTTTAAAGTGTGGTGGGAAAAATCAGTACAGAATTTGCTCTATAACTGATGTTCATCTCTGCGGTACTCTAGCTGCACTGTTTGTACTTCGCTTTTACCCAAGATGCCAGGGAAAGCAGTGTTTGGTGACTGGCTATAGAGCTGCACGCTGTGGAGCACCAAGACGTAGCTCCGTTTAGCACAGGTCGGCCTGGCTGGGGCAGAGGTTTGGGATGCTGGGTCTGCAGGGTGCCAGAGGGGGATGTGTCCCACGTGGGTTTGCCATGTTACAGATTTTGGCCTGAAAAATAAGCTCCACTTTCATGTCTCTAATCTTCTCTCTCCTGAGCTTGAAGAATACAGTAATTTGAGACTGCTTTGGAACTCGAGGCCAAGATTTCTTTAAGTGTCTAGTGATTCTGCATGACATGGCTCTTTATTTTTATTTTATGAATTCTGTGTCATTTATCAAGGCACCATATCTTTGCTGTACACTGAACATTCGCCCAAGGAAAACCTCAGGTCTAAGATGTGGTCACCCACAGCCGAGGAAAACATAGCTAGCTGGTTTTAAAACTTTTGGTCCGGGTATAGTACAGATGTTTTCCTGTATTTGGAGAATAACCAAGGAAGTCATCCACAGGTAGCCAGTTGATCATAAGTCATGTTCAGCTAGATTTGTGAATGGTCAGGAAGCAAATTAGTATTTTCATATTTCAATTTTTACAGAAAATGTGATTACACTGAGATTTCTCCTCCTTGCTTGTGGTCTCACCTGGAAACTAAGCTAAGTCACAGAGCAGCTTCAAAAGCACATGCTTTAAGTGAAAAAACACTAATCATAACAACATGAATATACAAAATAAAAAAAATACTGAAATTGCAACTGTAAATAATTAATAACCTGATTGCAAGTAAATCTTATGTATATCTCTTTTAAGACACATTTTTTTTTATTATGTAGTTCGGCAATGCTTCATTCTACAGGACTCAGTCTTGTTCAATGTAGAGGAGTGACACTGCTGGGGAAACGAATGAAAGATGTTTATGAAAAGAGGGCAGCTTTACCAGCAGGGCCAGGCATTGGCCTCCCACTGCTCTTTTCCAGTGCTTCATATCTGCTTCTGGTAACAGTTTTGGTTTGGAAGTTAAAAGATTTTGTTATAAATAGGATAGGTCACCGTGCAAAGAGACATAAAAATGTTGCATTCAAGACAGGGAAAAGGCTGTATGACATCTTGGCATGAGGGGCATATGTATTTATCTGAGACCAATGTGACAAACCACTTTGCCCAAGGAATTTCAACTTCTTGCTGCAAAGCCTGCAGAAGTCAGAGTGTTTTGAGAAAATGTTTTTCAGACAACGAGTATAACAAATATTTCCTGCTGTTCTCATTCAGAAAAATCCGAACGTTTATACTGATATTGTTTGTGCTGGTCCTGATACGTTGAATTGAAAATCACAGTTTGACAGATTACATATTAGAAAATTTAAAGTGAATAGGTTATATTTCCATTTCATATGTTTTTTTTTTAATTCTGAAATTACAGAAAGTATAAAACCAAAAACATGTAAACTTTGGTAAACAGAGTTCCATATTTTTAAATGTTTTATGAATATTGAAAAAGTATGTGATAATTGCATGATTTCTTCTACCCTAGTTTATGCCCTTTTCCTTTGAGTAGCTTCACTGAAATCAGCAGGATTGCTCATAGACTGATACAGTCTGTGCAGAACAAGAATGGTAAAAAATGTTTTAAAGGAATTAAATTCACTATTAAATCTTATAACAAGATTATGCCTGACAAGGCCATTGTACCCAATTATGAAGGATACATCAGAAGACTGTAGACCTCACT